GGCGTTAAATGAAAACCTAAAGGAATATGCCCCCCAGAAAGATAGTGATGTCATCAAAATGGAGACATCCCTGACTTCAGTCCCCCTCACAAGAAGACCAACTAACAACTATCCTTAAATAAGACACCACTGTGAAAATCCCAGAACCTGGGGGTGAGGCTGAAGCATGTCCCTGGACCACAGACTAAAAAAGACCACATTAGAAGGGTAAGAGGAGGATGAGAAAGAAAAGAGGAATGGCTCCACTCTGACTAAACTGCCTTCCCCAGGCACTGCACCAAGAGGGCCCCCCAGACCTACAAATCCTCCAATGAGGAAACAAGAGCCCAAGCTGGAAATCCAGCTCCCACAGCATTGTGGAACACTTTCTAGGAGGTTCAATGAGGTCTAACCTCACAGGATCACTGGGGGAATCTGTGGGGCTTGACCACTGGTAATCAGCTAGAGATGGCAGAAGAGGGGGGACAGGTCTATAGCAACCAGTGCACAGATCTTGGCAGATCACAGTTCTGCTTGCAGCAGTGCCTGAGCAGAGATCCCAGCCAGTGGCTCTAACCATCTTTAGAGCTGAGCCAGTGGCCCTGTCTAGCCAGGGAGCTTGGGTGGCAGTTCTGCCTAATTTGAGCCCCCAGGCAATAAGCCAAACCATACCAGCCCTGGACCCCATCCTATAGCCATGCTTGAGCAGGGAGCCAAGTCAGCAGTCCTGCCAACAGTTAAGCAAAGCCTATGGCCCTGCATAATAAGAGAGCCTGAACAATGACCAAAGATATCCTTGAAACCCAGCCCATGGTATCAGCTAGCAGCAAAGCGGAGCCTAATGGCCAGCTCCAGCGTATCACCTTGCCTGACTGCTGAACAAAGCCTGCAGATTCAACCAGGCAGGGAGCCTAGCCAGTGACCCTGCCCAATTGTAGAACATAGCCTACAGGCCCACCCAATGCAGAAGCCTGGACAATGACCCTGCTCTGATGCACAGTGCAGTCTCTAGAGGCTGCACTCTGGAAGCCCCTCCTGACAAGAGTGCCTGCCCAGGGACCTTGTCCAACAGCACAGCACAGCCAGAGACCTACCTGATCATGAGGTCTAACCTGGGGCCCTGCAAACTTGGGGGTATAGCTTGGGCCTCGCCTAATTTCAGAGCACAGCCTAAGGCTTTGTCAACCACAAAGCCCTGCCTAGAGCTCTACAAAGTACTGCCTGTGGCACGATCCAATCACTGAGAAGACACTTACAACTCACCAGACCAGGAATGATTGTGGAGCCCAGCCATGGCCCTATCCAATGGCAGAGTCCAAACAGTGGCACCACCTTAAAAGGAAACACAGCCTATGACCTCGTCTGACCAGATGTGATTGCAGAGCACAGTTAGTGAAGGCCCACCTGACCATGCAGCAGAGCCAGCAGCCCAACCTAATCAGAGAGCACACCCAGTAGACCTGCTTGAATGCAGAGCCCAGCCAGCAGGCTCACTCAGCCACAGTGTCTAGCCAGTGACAAGTCTGCTGACCACAGAGCACAAGTAGTGGCCTCACCCAAATAGAGACCCCCGCATAGTAGCAAGCCCCGCATATCCATGACACTACCAGCTGACCCATACGATAACCCATGTGGTAAAGATCTATGCCTGCTGAAGTGAATCTGTAAAGTGTGGAAGAGGAGAACGCTTGCTAAAGTGCACAGATACCAATGCAAGGAATCAAGGATCATGAAGAATCAGGAAAACATGACACCATAAAGGAAACTAATAAAGCTCCAATAATTGAACCTAGTGAAATGGAGATGGATAAAATGTCTGAAAGAATTTAGAATAATCCTCAAAGAATTTCAGTGAACTACAAGAACTAACAGACAACTACACAAAATTAGGAAAACAATGCATGAACAACATGAGCAGTTCAACAAAGACATAAAAACCATCCAAAAATAATCAAAGAGAAATCCTAGAGCTGAAGTATATGATGACAGAAATGAAGAATTCAACAAAGAGCTTCAACATCAGACTAAACTAAGCAGAGAAAAGAATCAAAGAACTGGAGGATAGGTCATCTGAAATTATCTGGTCAGAGGAGCAAAAGGAGAAAAGAATGAAAAAGGATGAAGAAACCCTATAGGTTTTATGGGACATGATCAAAACAAATAATATATGTATTATGGGAATCCAGGGATAGAAGTCTATTTAAAGCAATAATGGCTAAAAACTCCCCAAACATTGGGAGAGAAACAGACATCTAGATTCACGAGGCCCAAAAGGACCAAATATGTTGAATCCAAAAAGGGTTACACCAAGACACATCATGATAAAATTGTCAAAAGAAAGCAGCAAACGAAAATCAACTTGTCACATAAAAAGGGAATCTCCATAACTGGATTTCTCAGCAAAAACTTTGTAAGTCCACAGAGAGTGTGATGATACATTCAAAACACTGAAAGAAAAGATGACTGTTAACCAAGATACTACACCAGCCAAAGCTGTCCTTAAGAAATTAAAGATTTTCTCAAAAACCAAAGCTGAGGGATTTCATCACCACTAGACCTGTCTCACAAGAAATGCAAAGAGGAATTCTTCAAGCAGAAATAAAAGGATGCTAAGTAACATCATAAAAACATACAAATGTGTAAAACTCAGTGGTAATGGTAAATATAGGGTCAAAGTATTCTCTAATATGGTAATGGAAATACATAATTCATTTACAACTCTCATTTAAAAGTTTACAAACATGTTAAAAATAACCATAACTGTAACAATTTGTTATTGTATACACAATATAAAAAAGATGTAAATTTTAACACCAATAACTTAAAACGCGATTGCAGGGAAGTAAAAGAATAAAGTTTCTGCTTGCTATTAAAGTTAAGTTGTTATCAGCTGAATATAAGATGCTATCAATGTATTTTATGTAAGCCTCATGGTAACCAAAAAGGGAAAATCTGTAGTAGGTACACAAAATATTATGAAAAAGAGGTCAAGCCATACCACTACAAAAACTCATCAAGTCACAAAGGAAGACAGCAAGAGCAGAAACAAGAAATAGGCAAAACAGTCAGAAAACAATTAACAAAATGGCAATAGTAAGCTCTTCCCAATCAATAATTACATTTGGCATAAATGGATTAAATTGTCCAATCAAAAGACACATAATGGCTAAATGGATTTTTGAAAATCCAATGATATGCTGCCCACAAGAAACTCACTTAGCTTTAAGAATATATACATAAAGTGAAGAGATGGAAAAAATATTCAAGGAAATGGTAAGCAGAAGAATGGAGGGAGAGCTATACTTATAATACACAAAACAGACCTTAAGCTACATATGGCCAAAATAGATAAAGAAGGTCATTATATAATGGTAAAGGTATCAATTCATCAAGGAGATTTAAAAATTGTAATTATTTATGCACCCAATATCACAGCACCTAAATATATTAAGCAAATACAAAAAACTAAAAGGGGTAACAAACAGCAATACAATAATTGTCAGGGATTTTAATACCTCACTTTCTATGGTAGACAGATCATCCAGACAGAAAATCATGAGGGAAACAGTGGGCTGGAACAACACTATACACCACATCGACCTAAGAGACATATATATGGAACATTCCATCTGGCAGCAGAATGCACATTCTTCTCAATTGCGCAGAGAATATTTTCTAGATTAGATCATGTGTTAGGCCACAAAACAAGACTCAGAAAATAACAAGAGTATCAAAATTATATCAAGTATCTTTTATGAACACAATGGAAATGAACTAGAAATTAATAGCAGGAGGAAAGCTTGAAATTTTACAAATACATGGAAACTGAGCAACACACTCCAAATAACAAATTGATAAAAAAAAAAAAAAGGAAAGGAGAAATTTTTTTTAAATCTTGAGACAAATGTAAATGGAAAGACAATATATCAACACTTAAGGGATGCAGCAAAAGCAATTATAGGAGGGATGTTAATAGCAATAAATGCATACATCAAGAAAAAATAAAGATCTCTAGAGAGTCAAGATGGGAGAGGAGCAGTAGGACGTGAAATTCATCTCTCCCCGCAAATGCATCAAGAATACATCTACCAATGGAACAATTCTCACAGAGTACTGGCTGCACACTAGCAGAGGACCTCGGACACCTAAAAAGACAAGAAAGATCCCCGTGTAACTGGGTAGGACGAAAGAGAGAAGGGAAAAGGAAGAGGAGAGGAAGCAGGATGGGACCTGAACCCCTGTGAGGGGAGCTGAAGGAGAGGAGAGGTTCTCACATCCAAGGGGAGCCCCTCAGCAGGGACATCACTGGGACAGAAGGGGAGCTTCGGGGCCTACTGGAGGAGGGCCAGCAACCAGTCTGTGGCAGGCAGGACAGAGTGAGACCTACACAGATGGTCCCTGCCACAGCCCTGCGCATGCCAGCCTGAGACATGTGTCTGCTGGTGCAGATGGAGGCTAGGTGCTGGAGCGCAGGGTTTGGAGAGTAGACCGGGGGAGGGCACTGCTCCGGCTGTGAGTAAATAGCCTGAGCGGTGGGAGTGAGGAAGTCTGCAACCAGTAATTCTTGTGGAGAAAACACCAATGGCCATGGAAGCGAAGCACCATTGTTGAGTGACTCACAAGGGGCAGGGCCTCCATTGCAGCCTCACTACCCACGTGCTGGCCCTGACTCCCCAGGCACTAGGAAGGGCCCCTGCCGGGGCCAGCTCTCTCACAGCTGTGGCCGCTGGCTCCCCCACACTTCCCATTGCTGCTGGCCCCGTCCCTGCAGGAACCCCACAAGGGCTCCTGCAACCCCAGCCACTGCCACCTCCATGCCCCCTTCTCACTGCGGTGAACTCGTGTGCTCCAGGGCAGCCTCAGGAGCAGACCCCTGTGGGTAGCCCACACACAGAGGCGGGGCTGAAACCATAGCTGTGGCCCAGGGGTTGTGCAACTAAGGAGGAAAAGCTGAAGTCTCTCCTTGCAGCTGAGCAAACTGCAAATTGACTCTCCTGTGACCAGCTTTGCAAACTCAGTACCTATGGAACATCTGAACGGACGAGCGCTCCTGCAGCCAAGATGGGTCCAGCTTTAGCAGCTGTAGGCTTTGTGGGCACGTACACATGGGGGGGTTGGGGCAGGCCAGAATCTGAGCTGTCCCCGTAGCACCCACAGCAGGTCCAGATCCATGATTACTGCAGTCCTGGGGCCTGACTTCAGTGGATCTACTCTGGTGGCCTGGTGAAAACAATGTCCGAGAGACACCAGGGCCAACTGCCGGCACACCCACAGTTAAGGTGGGGCCGAGAGCAGTGCCAACAACAGTGTAACTTGTGAGCTCGCACAGTGGGTGAAAGGTGACACAACAGATCACACCCACGGGTGAACAGCTCCAGAGGAGGAATACTCAGTGGCTTCCCTCCCAGCAGGAGTGCTCCAAACCTGCCTACCTCACATCATGGATCAGAAACACAGCTAAGAAGCAGATCTGGGGGCTCTACTCCAACAACTAGGGAGCAGACCCTGCCCTACCAGGGCAGTGGCAACCACAGAGCAAAGGGGAAGCCCTGCGCAATATCCAGTGCAGGCTCTGGTCACCACAACACCAGTCACACCTCCTGTAAAGGGGAACATGGCCAGCATACACTGAGGAAAGAGATGGAAGACATCTATATGAAAAACAACCCTCGCACCAAAAAATATTAAATCCACACAGGCTACACAGGGACGTTCCCATGTAAAATGGCCCTCCAACACAGTCTGAGGGTCTGGCATTGGGTGGAAGAACCACCAGAGACTTTAGCCTTGAAGGCCAGCAGGGCTTGAGTGCAGGAGTCCCACAGGGCTGGGGGAAAGAGAGACTCCACTCTTGGAGGGGGCACACAAGGTCTCAAGTGCACTGGGACCCAGCACAAAGCAGTACCTCCATAGGAATCTGGGCTACATCTACCTAGGGGTCTTGGAGGGTCTCCTAGGGAGGCAAGGTTGACTATAGTTCACCGTGAGGGCAAGGACACAGGTAGTGGAAGCCCCAGGGAATACTGAGTGGAGTGAGCTCTCTCGGAAGTCCACATTTCAGCAACAAGACCCAGCCCCATCCAACAAACTGCAGGCTCCAGTGCTGGAAAGCCTCAGGCCAAACAACTATCAAGATAGGAACACAGCTCCACCCATCAGAAGACAGGCTGCCTAAAGTTGTACTGAGCTCGCAGCCACCTCAAAACACACCCCTTAACATGGCCCTGTCCATCAGAGAAACAAGACCCATTTCCACCCACCAGAGGGCAGGCAACAGTCCCTCCCACCAGGAAGCCTGCAAAAGCCCCTGGACCAACCTCACCCAAGAGGGGGCAGACACCAGAAGCAAGAGAAACTAGGGTCCTGCAGCCTGTGGAAAGGAGACCACAGAGAAACTTAGACAAATTACCAGTGGCATTTTTCACAGAACTAGAACAAGAAATTTTACAATTTGTATGGAAACACAAAAGACCCTGAATAGCCAAAGCAATCTTGACAAAGAAAAATGGAGCTGGAGGAATCAGCCTCCCTGACAGACTATACAAAAAAAGCTATAGTAATGATACTGCTACAAAAACAGAAATATAGATCAATGGAACCGGATAGAAAGTCCACAGATAAACCCATGCACCTATGGTCACCTAACCTATGACAAAGGAGGCAAAAATATACAGTGGAGAAAAGACAGTCTCTTCAATAAGTGGTGCTGGGAAAACTGGACAGCTACATGTAAAAGAATGAAATTAGAACACTCCCTAACATCATACACAAAAATAAAATGGGTTAAAGACCTAAATGTAAGGACAAATACTATAAAACTCTTGGAGGAAATTATAAGTAGAACACACTCTGACACAAATTGCAGCAATATCTTTTTTGATCCACTTCCTGGGGTAATGAAAATAAAAACAAAAATAAACATATGGGACCTAATTAAACTTAAAAGCTTTTAAACAGCAAAGGAAACCATATACAAAACTAAATGATAATGCACAGAATGAGAGAAAATATTTGCAAATGAAGCAACCGAGAAGGGATTAATCTCCAAAATATACAAACAGCTCAGGCAGCTCAATATCAAAAAAACAAACAACACAATCAAAAAATGGGCAGAAGATCTAAGTAGACAGTTCTCCAAAGAAGACATACAGGCACAACAGGCACATGAGGAGACTCTCAACATTGCGAATTATTAGAGAAATGCAAATCAAAACTGCAAAGAGGTATCACTTCACACCAGTCAGAATGGCCATCATTAAAAAGTCTACAAACAGTAAATGCAGGAGAGGGTTTGGAGAAAAGGGAACCCTCCTACATTGTTGGTGGGAATACAAATTGGTAAAACCACTAAGGAGAAGAGTATGGAAGTTCCTCAAAAAAAAAAGAGAGAGAGAGCTACCCAGCAATCCCAATCCTAGGTACCTATCCAGAGAAAACCATAATTCGAAAAGATACATGCACTCTGATGTTCATTGCAATACTATTTACAATAGCCAGGACATGGAAACAACCTAAATGTCCATCGACAGAGGAATGGATAAAGAACATTTGGTACATATATACAACGAAATACTACTCAGCCATAAAAAGGATGAAATAATGCCATTTGTAGTGACATGGATGGACCTAGAGATTGTCATACTAAGTGAAGTAAGTCAGACAGAGAAAGACAAATATCATATGATATTGCTTATATGTGGAATCTAAAAAAATGGTACAAATTAACTTGTTTATAAAACAGAAAGAGAGTCACAGATGTAGAAAAGAAACTTATGGTTACCAAGCAGGAAAGGGGAGTGTGACAAACTGGGAATATGTGCTTGGCATATACACACTACTATATATAGAAAATATAACTAATAAGAACCTACTGTATAACACAGGGAACTCTACTCAATACTCTGTAATGACCTATATGGGAATAGAATCTAAAAAAGAGTGGATATATGTATACGTGTAGCTGATTCACATTGCTGTACAGCCGAAACACAAGACTGTAAATCAACTATACTCCAATAAAAATTAATTTTTAAAAAAAGAGAAAGATCTTGAATAACCTAATTTTACTGTTCAAGGAAGTAGAAAGAACAAACCAAGCCCAGAATTAGCAAAAGCAAAAACATAGTAAAGATTAGCACAGAAATAACTGAGATAGAGAATAGAAAATCAATTAAAAATTTTTTAAATTAACAAGTTTTTCTTTGAAAAGGTAAACAAAATTGACAAAACTTTAGCTAAAGAGAACTCAAGTAAATAAAATTATAAATACAAGAGGAGAATTACAGCTTATAATACAAAATTACAAGTAATCATAAAAAACTACTATGATCAAACATCAACAAACTGGATAACCCAGAAGAAATGGGTAACTTCTTAGAAACATACAATCTACCAATACTGAATCCTGTATAACTCGAAAATCTGAACAGACCACTAATGAGTTGAATTAGTAAGCAAATGCCCCCCCAAAAAAGAAAAGCCCAGGACCAGACTGTTTCACTGGTTAATTCTACCAAACATTTAATGAATAATTAATGCTAATCCTTCTCAAAATCTTCCAAAAAATTGAAGATGACATAATACCCCCAAACTCATTTTAAGAGTCTATTACTACCCTAATACCAGAGCCAGATAAGGACACTACAAGGAAAGAAAACTATAGGCCAATATCCTTAATGAATACAAATGCAAAAATTATCAACAAACTACTAGGAAACCAAATTCAAGCATGTTAAAAGGATCATATACCAAGGTCAAGTGGGATGCATCCCAGCAATGCAAAAATGGTTCAACATATAAAAATAAATGAATATGAGGCACCACATGAATAGAATGAAAGAAGAGAATCATATGATCATCTCAACAAATGCCAAAAAAGCATCTGACAAATTTCAACATTCCTTCATGATAAACATTGGGAATAGAAGGAATGTACCTCAACATAATAAAAATCATATACAACAAACCTATGGCTAACACCATACTCAAAGGTGAAAGGTAAATCTTTTCCTCTAAGATAAAGATCAAGACAAGGGTGCCCACTCTCACCATTCCTATTCAATATAGTTAGCCAGAGCAACCAGGAAAGAAAAGGGTATAAAAGGCAACAAAATAAGAAAGGAAGAAGTAAAATTATTTCTGTTTGCTGATGACATAATCTTTTATGGAGAAAACCCTAAAGACTTCACAAAAAAACTATTAGAATAAACAAATTCAATAAAGTTTCACAATACAATACCAACCTACAAACTGATATATTGTGTTTTGATATATTAACAATGAATTAACAAAATATAACAAAATAAATCAATCCCATTTACAACAGCAATAAAACAACAAAATGATTTGCACAAAGAAAACTATAAGACTGTGATAAAAGAAAGTGAAAGAGGGAATTCTCTGGTGGTCCAGTGGTTAGGACTCTGTGCTTCCACTACAGGGGGCCTGGGTTCAATCCCTGGTCAGGAAACTAAGATCCCAAGAGCTGTGAGGGAAAGAAAGAAAGAAAGAAAAGAAGGAAGAAAGAGGAAGAAAGAAAGAAAGAAAGAAAGAAAGAAAGAAAGAAAGAAAGAAAGAAAGAAAGAAAGAAAGAAAGAAAAGAAAGAAAGAAAGAAAGAAAGAAAGAAAGAAAAGAAGGAAGAAAGAGAAAGAAAGAAAGAAAGAAGGAAAGAGAGAAAGAGAGAAAGAAAGAGAAAGAGAGAAAGAGAGAGAGAGAGAGAGAGAAAGAAAGAAAAATTGAAAAGGACACAAATAAATGGAAAGATATCTCACGGACTGGAAAAATTAATATTGTTAAAATATGCATATTACCCAAAGCCATCTAGAGATTCAATGCAATCCCTCTCAAAATTCTAATGACATTTTTTCATAAAAATACAGAAAACAATCTTAAAATGTGTATGAAACCACAAAAGACTCCAAGCGGCCAAAGCAATCCTGAGAAAGAAAAACAAAGCTGGAAGCATTGCCGTTCCTGTTTTCAACCTATATTAAAAGGCTATAGTAATCAAAAAGTATGGTCCTGGCATAAAAGCAAGTGTTGGGAAAACTGGATATTCACACGTAAATAATGAACTGGACCCTTGTATTACACTGTTCACAAAAATTAACTCAACATGGACTAAACACCTATATGTAAGAAGTGAAATCATAAAATTCCTGGAAGAAAACAGTGAGAAATCTCCTTGACATTGGTCTTGGCAATGATTTTATAACTATGACAACAAAACCACAAACAAAGGCAAAAATAAATAAGTGGGACTACAGCAATATAAGGGTTCTGCACAGCAAAAGAACTGATCAAAATGAAAAGGCAACTACAGAATGGGAGAAAATATTTACAAACTATATATATGATAAGAGATTAATATCCAAAGTATATTAAGAAGTCATATAACTCACTAGCAAAAACTAAATTATCTTATTAAGAAATGGTCAGAGGACCTAAATAGACATTTCTCCAAAGAGGATATTCAAATGGCCAACAGGTACATGAAAAGGTGCTCAACATCACTAATCATCAGAGAAATGCAAATCAAAACCACAAGTGAGAGCACCTCACACCTGTTAGAATGGCTATCATCAAAAAGATAAGAGATAACAAATGCAGGCAAGGATGTGGAGAGACTGGAACCCATGTGCACTGTTGGTGGGAATGCAAATCGGTACAACCACTATAGAAAACAGTGTGGAGTTTCCTGAAAAAAATTAAATATAGAACTATCATATGAATCAGCAATTCCACTTCTAAGTATATATATGAGGAAATGAAATCACTGTCTCAAATAGGTCTTTGCACCCCATGTTCACTGCAGATTATTCACAACAGCCAAGATATGGAAACAACCTAAGTGTCCACTGACTAACGAGCAGATAAATTGTGAGATGTGTGTGTTTAATAATCATGTATATATGAATATTATTCAGTCATAAAAAAAGAAGGAAATCCTGTCATTTGACACAACATGGATGAAGTCAGAGGGCATTACTCTAAGTGAAATAAGACAGAGAAAGACAAATACTACATGATCTCAGTAGGTGGAATCTAAAACAACTGAACTCATAGAAACAGAGAACAGATTGGTGGTTGCCAGGGCGAGAGTTGGGGGTGGGAATGAGTGAAAGTGGTCAAATGGTACAAATTTCTAACCTGGGGATACAATGTAACTATAGTTAACAATACTGTATTGAGTATTTGAAAGCTGCTAAAAGAGTAGGTCTTAAAGTTTCTCAACACACACACAAATGGTAACCATGTGAGACGATGGATTATCAAATATATACATATATATATATAACCTTATTGAATGGCAATCATTCTGCAATATATACATATACCGAATCATTACATCGTACACCTTAAACTTGCACAATGTTATATATCAGTTGTATCTCAGTAAAACTGGAAAAAAGAGTGGGTCTTGTAAAAAATAATAAACAGAAACCTCAATTAGAGTCGGGCTACCAGAAGGGGAACTCTCACAGCCTGGAGGATAGCAGAATCCAACAGGAAAAAGAAAGACTTCTCTTCTCCTTTCCTGGCAAGGACTCAGACAATAAAAAGCCATGTACACTTTGTTTACTATAGCTCCCTTCAACTTTCTTTTTCCCCTTTATAAAAGTATTGTTTCCCTTGCCATGAGAGGATCTGCGCCTGGCTCAACATGGTTGCAGACCCCGAATCATAATTCTCTGCTGATTCTGAGTAAACCCATCATTTCTGGAGAAATCTGGCAGTCTATTTGTTTTAGATCAACAATCTCATAATGCAAGTTCAGCAAGGTTACTGGATATTTACAAAAATATATAAAAACTGGCCATATATTGATATACACTAGCAGTGAGAAACTGGAAGATGAACTTAAATGATCAAGACCAGTTGCAATAGCATCAGAGCATATAAAATACCTAAGAATAATTTTAGCAGTATATGTATTAAACCTCCACAGAATTTTTAAAAGACCTGAATTAATGGAGAGATAAACCATGTTGGTGGACTGGAAGATCCAACATTATTAAGATATCAATTCTCCCCTAACTGATTCATAAATTACACACCATCCCAATCAAAACCTAAGTAAGCTTTTGTGTATGTGTAGAACTAGACAACCTGATTCTAAAATCTATATGAAAATGCAAAGTTATATATAGACATACATAATATTGACAAAGCACAAAGTTGGATAGCTTTAACTACCTGATTTCAAAATATTTAACAAAGCTACCATATTCAAGGAATTGATTCTTAACCTAAAAAGAAAATTTTAGAATATTATGATTGGTGTCTATCATTTTAAAATTTAATCTTCATACTCTTTGTTGTTGGAATAAACAAAAAAAGGATTTTTATATTGATATTTGTATTTTAATTTTATACTGGCTTTTTATAGCATTCTTCCTTAACTCATATATTTTTCCTTTACAAATTTTTATTACAAAAATTCCAATCAAACTTAAAGTCTGAAGAATGGCACCAGGAAAACACATACTAACCACTTATATTCAATAATTCCTACATCTGCTTTTTTCTTCACACACACATGATCTAAACATTAGTTCTCAGCAAAGAAACATTGTTTTCAGGAGGATTCACAGTAGTGACAAAGACCTGGACAATTGCTGACAGTTTTTCCTGAGGCTTTGGCTGAAAGGGGACTGACAGCAAGGACTGAGAATAAAACAAATTCCTAGGGAATATCTGATTCTTCTTTAGCCATGGTGACAAATAACCCCTAGAAATGGTTTTAGATTTACCTAATCAATCAATATGTCTTTTATACTAATGGTAGCAAGTACACACCAGTACAGATTTTAATTCTGTCTAATCTGTCAATGACAATTTGAATTACAGTACATGCTACTAAAAGTCAACTAAATATACAAATGGGTCAGTATAAAAATCATAGTGTAGCCTTATTTTTCTGAAACACTGTCAAGTTCGCTCCCCTTGCTACATTTTATATAGCTTGTTGTAAAAAGAACATAACTAGAAAAAGCTCATTCCCATTTTCCAGAAAACAGTAGATTATGAATATTTGACGGCTGTTCCTTCCTACAACAGTCTGCTCCTCACAAACATAATAAAGAATTGAATGCAATTATAAAAGTTACCTTGAAACAATAATACAATGAACGTCACTTAACAAAAAGTACATGAATGTACACCAATTACTAATTTTGAGGAAAATACTGATTTTATTTTTTGATATTTAGTTTTTATTTGATATTTATTTAATATTTTGATATTTATTTTTACTGATGTTTATTTTTATTAATTTTGAGGAAAATGTTTAATAATTAACATTAAAATCACACTGATTATATAATAACTATTGATGCAAGCATACCACTGCTCAAAACAATTAAACAGACTTACAAAGGCCAAATGTTTTTTAAAACAATATGAAATTATGATGAGTTGACTTTATAAATATTCTGACTTTTAAAGCAATTATATACCGCTTAATTTTTATACTCTTAATTAGTAATAAAAATACTATTAAAGAAAGAATAAACTAAGTAATATATATATTCTTGCTTTAAAATATTTAGGAAATTTTGAAACATGAAAATAATGAGAGCAAATTTGATAGTAATTACATACCAAAGCAACTCCTCCAGCAAAATTTTTATCACATATTTTTGCAGGATGTGTGGCTCCTATAAAAGTAGGACTTTTCTGGAAGCTAAAAAAAATAACAATTTTCCTCATAATTACATTTCAGTGGTATTATTAATGATAATCAGATCAGACACAAGAATGTAGAGATAACAGGTAGTAAAAGTTTACTAGCCAAGAGACATCAAAAAATTGTATCACTCATAATTAACCTCCTTTAGTTATTTCAAAACTTTTATGTAATTTTACTTCTTTCAGGTAATTTTATGTCGTTTGATAAAGGATTTTAAGTCTTACCTCACATTAGCTACTTGAGGACAAAGAGGTTAACCTACATTTTTTTCCCATCCCATGGTGTCTACCAAATTTACAGAACTCAGTATACATTAAGTAAATGTTTATTTTTCATAATTAACATATAAAATCATTTTGGGTTATTTCTTTATACAAATATGAAATACTATACTCACGCAAATAAGTATGCAGTATGATGAGGTTGGGAGAGAAATTCGTATTTCCATTCTAAAAGTCTATATAATATATGATTAGGATGTCTTGTAGTAGAAATTTTGTTTTTGTTTGACCAAATCTCTATGGAAGATATTCTAACAGTCAGTTTTAACTGGGTAAGCATCTAAATGGAGAAAATAAATGAAATTTTTAAAATAAATTTGAACATTATATTAAATTTTTGTAAAGGTATATTTAAGACATTTAATTCAGTATTTTGAATGTGGAAACTCTTCAACAGCACAGCAAAATACTATATATATCAATTCATATTACCTATAATCTTACAGAATATATTTAAAAAGTAGTTTTAAAATACTTACAGTGTTAACAAAGCCAATGATCTGAATAACCTTCTGTGTAACAACTTTTACATCAGAGCCCATGTAATCAAACTGAAAAAGATAAATTATTATTAAAAAACAGTGGATACCATTAATATACCACATAACCTTTATATCTATAATATGCTATATACTAAACCAGCCAGAGGGCTACATTCCAACTGAAATCCAGGAAATGCATATTTACATTTGTACATGTAAATGTATAAATAATAATTTATTTAAATAAATTAATTAAATGTATAACTTTATATGAGATAAATAAAAATATTTGACAACATTTAAAATATTTAAATAATGTTTAATGCACTTGTAGCATTATTTATTTATAAAAATTGAATCATAAACTTTTAAAATGTTGTTTCAAAATATACTTATTTCTAAAATACTACATATAATCACAAACCAAAAAATATATGCATAAAGAGGGAAAAATCTTCAATAAAAGGTTCACTGTTGAAGTGATCATGGATACTGTGTTAGGTTACATCCTCTGATATCACCACGTTAACTCATGTTACTCATGCTTCTTTATTCCAATAAGCTCTTTCTATTTCTAACTGCTTAAAAATGCCAGGACAATATTAAAAAACAATGGTGATATCAGCAATGTGAGCTTTGCTCCTGATTTTTCCCTGGAAAATCTCAAATATTTCACCATTAAGTGGTGTTCAGTTTAAGATGAGTATTCTAGATCATGTTGAGAAACACCTACTTATAAATCTTCCTACTTATAAAACTTTTGTTAAAAATGAAGTTGAATTTTTATCCAAAGCCTTTTTGAAGCATACCCAAAATGATAATGACTTTTCTCTTTTGACCTACTGATGGAATACATTTCATTAATACTTTACTTGATATTAAACCATCATTATACTGTTTGATCAAAACATTACATTTTATTAATATACTATCAAAATTAATATAATATTTTGTTTAGAAGTCTGTAGCTTTCATAACAATGGGCCTGTTGGTCATGTGTGCATGCATGCATCCTTTGTCATAACTGAGCAAATGAATGTTGCTTACTAAATATTAAAGCACTACCTAAAATTAAGTTGTTTTTTCTACATCCAAGAATTGGATTAGCTTATGAATTATATCTTCCTGAAACTTGTTTTAAAACTCTCCTTTAAAACTATCTATACTTAACACTGGCAACTGACCCATTCAAATTCTTTTTATTTCCAGTTTTTTGAAATATAATTGACATATAAGATTGTGTTAATTTTAAAGTGTACAATGAGATGATTTGATTTAAATTCTTATCTCCAATGGAGAATTCATGAAAGTTGCATTTGTTTGTTTGTTTTAATCTCCCCCAAGGACACAGTTATACCATCTTAACCCTTTTCACACCATAACATGCTTTCTTCCTTTTTGCTTAATTACACTTTCTACCTATTTATTTGCCTTTTCAACAGTTTGTGAATTTACTTATCCATTTTAATGTTTCTGTTTATCATCAACTTATCAAATATCAAGTATTTTTCCTTATTTTTCTAATATCAAATTATTTCAAGAATATGAATTTCCTCTCAGTTTTTTTTTTTTTTTTTGCTGTACGCAGGCCTCTCACTGTTGTGGTCTCTCCCGTTGCGGAGCACAGGCTCCAGACACGCAGGCTCAGCGGCCATGGCTCACGAGCCTAGCCGCTCCACAGCATGTGGGATCTTCCCAGACCCGGGCACGAACCTGTGTCCCCTGCATCAGCAGGCGGACTCTCAACCATTGCGCCACCAGGGAAGCCCTCCACTTAGTTTTTATACTATCCTTTGCGGCAGGTATTATCTGTATTTACCAATATTCAGTTCTCTTCTAACTCAAGAACCCTTCTTTTAAAGGTAGGCATGGGCAGGTGATTCACTTTGGCCAATGCAATGAGGGCAAAAGTGATGCATGCCACTCCTGAGAAGTATTTCCTTATTGTAGCTCACGTCTCTCTGGTCTGCACTTCTATCAGTTTGGCAATTGGAAAAGAAACTATCAATCTAGAAGTGCCAAAAAATCTAAGCATTCTCTAGTGCTGAGCCAACACATGCAAGACTGCTGCCCTGGAGAGTCAGCCAGAAGCATGTTTGACATTGATTGAATGAATGAAACTTAAACTGTGTTTAGCCACTAAGATTTGGGGAGTGTTTCTTATGAGAGCATAACCTAGCCTCTTCTGATTAATACACATCCACCTAATTTTTACAACATTATATACAATTCATTAATTTCTAAATAGCTAAAAACTATAGTTTTTTCTTTTCTGCCTTGAAAAATTACTCATAATTGTATTTAATATTTTATTATTTTTGCCTTATCTCTTTTTATTCTTTTTTTAATATACTGTGATAAAGCTTTGGCAAAATGTTTTTTTTAATAAATTTATTTATTTTCTTTTTGGCTGCGTTGGGTCTTCGCTGCTGTGCGTGGGCTTTCTCTGGTTGCGGCAAGCAGGGGCTACTCTTTGTTACGGTGTGTGGGCTTCTCATTGCAGTGGCTTCTCTTGTTGTGGAGCACAGGCTCTAGGTGCACGGGCTTCAGTAGTTGTGGCACGTGGGCTCAGTAGTTGTGGCTCGCAGGCTCTAGAGCGCAGGCTTGGTAGTTGTGGCACATGGGCTTAGTTGCTCTGCGGTATGTGGGATCTTCCCAGGTCAGGGCTCAAACCCATGTCCCCTGCATTGGCAGGTGGATTCTTAACCACTATGCCACCAGGGAAGCCCCTGGCAAATTGGTTTTTGCTTTTACAAAACTATTGGTGTTTTCCTTGTGACCTACAGATGACTACATTTGCATGTATTTTCTATATATATCTATAGACATTTGAATGTATGTGGTACCCATTCATAAGGTACAAAGGTCAATAAGTGTTTAGTAAAACAAGCTGAATATTTGATCTTTATATGTTAACATTTATTTTCTATCTGTTAAAGGCTAACAGAAATGATTGAATGTACTCCAGTATAGTTTTGGTTTCTGTTAGATTCTTCTGATTACTTCCAAAGGTTTTCTTTTTATACTTTCAACATAATTCACTCAGCACTAAATGCTTATTATTAGAAATTCATCTTTAACTTGAACTGTAACATTCAATATAAAATACTCCTTTAATTCTTCTATTTACATTTTTTTTACCCTGAACTTTATCTATTAGTAATATCATCCTGATTTTCTTTTTTTATGGTAAATCTTGCACATTTTTGCCGGTCTTTTAAGAAATGTTTTATACCTAACAGTCTCATTTTATTTTAAGCTGTCTCATAAATGTCATCTAATTTGAGATCCTTTGCACATTTTAATGGGAATATTTAATCCATTCCATTATTGTAATCAATGAAGCTGACTTACAGTTTTCTGTTTTTCCTATTCATGTCTTCATGGTATTTCCTTTTGATTTTTGCTATGTTATAAGAGAATATTTGGAGGGGGGAGGTTCTATATGATTTCAAGGTTATATCTTCAAGATTTTATATTCAGATGTGTTTAAACATTGTGCAACAAGTTTCTCCATTTTTATCAACTGGACTCACCTATATAAAAAGGCCTTAACCCCTTATGAGGTGAAAATCAAAAATTTTGAGGATTCATCAAGGTTCAACTCTTTTTCCCAAAATGCATATTAACTCTTACTAGGAAGAGGCTGAATATGGTTATATAAATAAGGCACTACTACATCCTGCCAACTGACTGAATGCATACATTGCCTTTCTCTTTCTTTCTGACTTAGTGATAAAGTTGGTATATATAATTGCTTTGAAGTGTGTGTTTTTTAGTGCTACCCAACTCTTAAATTTTTAGATCAAATTTATTGAGGTATAATATATATACAATTAAATTCCCCTATTTTAAGGATTCATTAATTTTGACAAATAGCACTTACTTTATATTCTGAAAAAATTCAACCTACAGAAAATATAAAATTCAAAGACTATCCATATATCCTTCACACAGATTAATCTATTATTAATATTTGCCACATTTTGTTCTTTCTATATATCTTTATCTACCTGTCTAGGGTTTTTACCCACAACTGGTGTGTCTTGGAAAAGAGATCACACATAATTTGCCATGCTGAGAAATGGCTCTCAGACACTTAGATTTTAAAGAACTTCTTTTTTTAAGCTAGAAAAAGAACTTAGACTACTAGCTTTCTATTGTGCTAAAAAAGACAGCAAAAATTGTACCATTCATATTAGTGCCTCATTTCCTAAGCAAGGACATAATCACCCAGTAAAGGTTAGTTCTTTAAATGAATAAATTTAGCTTTTTGAAAAATTCAGTCTATTTTTCTTATTTTGTCTAATTTGGCTGCAGATGGGCCCTGGTCCTCAGTCCCGAGTTTGAGAGCCACTGTCCAGAGAAGTAGACAGAACAGATAGTGAAGCAAAAAAAAAAAGTATGGATCTGGGCATATATTGTTCATTTTGTTGAATTATATGGTAGTAAGTTGCAAACATTTCAAGATGTAGTTCCTAAGAATAAGGACTTTCTCCTGTTTGCCTACTAGACCATTATCATGCTCAAGAAACTTAACTTTAATTCAATAATATTAAATATATAATATAATAATATCTGTAATAATTAATAACTATCTATACATAGAATATACATTTACATAGTATCTATATGTCATATCTAATGATTTCAAATAAAAAATATTTCTGGGCAAAGAAGCTAATCCACAGATTTGCCTAATGCTGAATACAGCCTCCAGCCCTGCCAATAGAGAAACCTAACCAGAGCTTCTGAATCTCAGTAGCCCACCCTGCAGCTCCAATTACAGTGGCACTTGAGCAGAGAGCCCAGCCAGTGGCTCTCTGTCTGCAGAGCCAAGGCAGTGGCCCTGAGTGTCCAGGGAGCTTAGAGTACAGTCTTTCTGATTTGATCCAAAAATATAATTTCCAGTCCAGGGCCTGTTTTGCCGCTCAAACTTGGCAAGAAACTCATTGATAGCCCTGCCCAAACCTAAACACATCCTCCAGCCCAGCCTGACAAGGAAACCTGACTGAAGATCTGGGAATCTCTGTAGCCCATCCTGCAACTGCAATTAGAGC